ATTACAAGGGTTTTGTAGTATTAATTATATATTGAAAAATATAAAGTAAAAGTACTTTTGAAACAATTGAACTGTAGTAAAGTTAAAATCGTCCCAATTTAACTTAATGTGATATTTAATATATTATAGATTTATTTAAATAATGGTAACGATTGTTAGTAAATAAAAGTACTTACTAAAATGGGATATAAAAATTCAGCCAAAAAAGAGCCCTAAAGCAATTCGAAAAGTGAAGGCCTAAGAGTACATTTATTACATTGGAAGCAATTAATCGTTTTTGTTTATTTTATAAATTAATCTAACACACATGCAATCATGCATAGGAAGATGTTTTGTTGTTCTTTGTCCTGAAATCGTCTCGACTATAATTTGTTATTTTGCCTTTTTATATTTTATAATTCAAATCATATTGAAAAAATAAAAATAAATGAGAAAAATGAGCGAAAATGAAAATATTTTAATTTTCACCTCTCGATGCCATTCTTAATTTAAATTTAACAAATTGTTTATAAAACTTAATCATCAAAAAATTAAAACTCAATATGAAAAAAAATAAATAAATATCCTAATGTCCAGTAAATAAAATACCAAATACATTTTTTTCCTACTTTATGCCACTTTGAGCTTCGCTTTGCATCGAATTAAACCACATTCTCCACCGCTTGTGCAAGCCCCGTCAATTCCTTCGATTCTCATTAAAAATTTAAGAATGCTTTTTGAAATAGTAGATTGATAAAAAAAAATGTATGATTCAAAAATAAGAAAAAATTTGGGTTTTCGTGTAATATTATTTTATTAAATAATGTATGACTGAAAATAAGAGTGAGAAAAATGTATTTTAGAAAAAAGTGGGAATCGAGTATGCATAAATTCGAGTTAATTGTCCCAATAATCACTCAACTTTTGTCCATGTCGACAGTTGCTTACTGGAGTTTAAAATATCAAGTTTTGGTCAGTATATTTATCCAAACGCTGGACATTGCTCACAGCATAATGTCTATTTCAAACCTTTAAGGGAATTGATGACATGGCTACTGGAATTCACCACATCACACTGTTACGAAATTGATACTTAAAAAAGCGTCTTTCATTGCTTACTAAAATTTGGAAAATATATTTAATTGCTCATTATACTTTGAAAAATATTTTCGATTGCTTGCTGAACGTTAAAATGATCGAATTTTGGTCACTAAACTTATGAAAATGACGTCGTCCTATTGTTCGCTAAAAATGTGTACTGGAAACACACATGTTGCGTTTAAGTAATAAAGTAGACAAACGATTCAAAATTTTATTATTTATCTTTTCGTTATTTGATATTTCCTCAATTTTATTCCGGACAAGTTTATTACTTGTACGTGACTCGTGGTACACTTTTTTTAGCAAACAACAGTGGATATCGTTTTTATAACTTTAGAGACCAAAATTTGATCAACTCAAAATTTAGTGAGCCATTGAAGACATTTTTACTTTTTGCAAATTTTAGAGAGCAATGAAAAATGATTTCTTATGTCACAATTTGGTAACGGCGTAACATATCACCATCTATGCATTCCATTAATCACGTCACCAATGTCATTAGAGGTTTCAAACGAATGTTATGTCATGAGTAATGTTCAACGTTTGGATAAGTTTGGCGATCAAAACTCGATTTTTAAAATTTTAGTGAGCAATCGAAGACACAAACATAATTTGAGTGACTATTGAAAATTAACTCGCAAAAATTCATCAAGTCAAAGTGCGCGTCAAGATTATAAAATTAGTATTTTAGCCTCTGTTTGGGATTATTTTTTAGTTGAGATTTTAATTTTCAAGAAATGGGTTGCGAAAAAAGTAGATAGTATTTGTAGATCTTACAAAATGTGTGATTAAATCAAAACAACTTTCTAATGAAAAAAGGAAGTCCAACAAAGATGTTTTCTATATAAATCAAAGTTAACAATTAATTAATCATATATTTTATGGGATTCTCAAAATTTCAATCACAAATTTTATTAATTTTTATCAGAATTTATTAAAATATTGAATTAACCAAAAGGGTATTTAGTATTTTTCATTTGATTATTTCCTTAGATTTCTCCTTATGGGCAGCCGACCGACACCATGAAAAATAAAATATACATCGAAGTTTGACAGTGTCAAATGTAAGCACATAAATCAAAAGTCAAAAAACATGTGAATCCGAGTTGGTTCATGTGTAATTAATAAAGATGCTTCCTATTTTCTTACTTATATTTAATACTTCTTCCCCATCACCGTCGTGAGTAGGAAAATAGTCAAGATCACTATCGGGTTAAAATTTTTAGAATTTTGCTATATGTACATCAAAATTTACATAATGTCACATGACACTCTACTATTTACCAGTTTAAAATACAACCAACTTTTTCATCAAATATTCACTCCACATCATTTTCAGTAATCGCTTACGTGCATTTTTTTAATGTACAAATAGTAAAATTCAAGTTTTTAACGGAGGAATAGCTCAAGGGGAGAATTGTAGTCGGGGTTCCAATTTTTTTAAATTATTTCAGGTTATACTCGTACCTTTCACTTTTGCCATTGGGATCCCAAACCTTTTATCTCGAGTCAGCTGAAGGGCATGTGGACGAAATCCATCCGTTTAATCGTTGGTTGACAAAAAATCAACGATCTGACCAAATTATTCCATATAAAATAAAATAGAAAAAATAGTTTGGTCAGACTTTTGAATTTTGGTCAACTGGCGATTTCAGTGAATCCCTATTTGTATTTCAGTGAACTACTTTTTAATTTAGTTTTACATGGGAGTTCTCTTCGACCCTTAAATTTGGTAATTTGTTGATTATCAATAAATTAACTTCCACCAACCTCTTGATTAAAGCTCTTTGACTAGTCCGGTCCTAATTCAAATTTGGTTAGTCTTTCATGGATGGGTTTTTGTGCATTTATTTTGTCACCGTGAGATTCGCATCTAAGTCAAACATGTTATTTTATGTTTCGAGATGGGAATTGGCTCGCCTATAAACTTGTTTTTCTTGTTACGCTAAGTTGATTAGAGAGGTATTGGACTAACGATTTTCAAATTTTAGTAGTGTCTATGATCGAATAAATTCAATGTTTCGCTCTGATTTTTGAAAAAAACAACTATGAACTAAACAAAATGTACAAATATAATCCTTTAATCCACTTGAAATTTTTAAGAGTGGATTTTAATTTTACTGTTATTACAAAAGTGAGATTGTCCAAACATTTTACATTTCTACAAAGCTACAGGAGGATAATACCGCAAATTCAGGCTAAACCGGACTTTTTCACATCCATAACACATTTCCTCGATTCAATCTTCACTGTAAAACTGGAACAGTTATTTCTGGTAAGGAAAGGAAAATATATACAAATCTTTGTAATAAAAATCAATTTTTTTTTTTCAGGAAAACCCAGAAATCTCACAAAAATTCATAGAGAAATGACAAGAAAAACCCAAAAATAAAAAATCCCGTATCTCTATTACTTTGAATTGATTAGACATATATAAAGTTAAAAACACGCACAACACACAGTGAGAGAGGAAGAAGTGAAGAGGAAGGGACCTCTGAAGAAAAAGATCTGTTTTATAATAATAAAAACCAGAAAGGAGACAGCTAGCGAAGAAAATTGGCATTATAAAAATTTATCCCAGTGCAACTGCAACCACAGACCTGCCTGTAAGTGTGCATGTGGAGTTGTGAGCTTATAATCCCATTATCTTATAGTCATCTTTGAAGGGTCCCTCTCTTTCATTCTCCCTCAAATTTGGTGGGTTTTGTGGATTCTTGAAAGTACATTGAGTTCTTCACATTGAATTCATACCTTTTGTGTATATATACTTACATATACATACATTGTTGGTGGTAATTTTCTGATCCTTTTCTGTTTCTAATTATCAGATCTCAACTCAGACCTCTGTGTTTTGCAGTAATTTTTACACTTTTCTATGTTTCTTAAAAAAAATTGCTGGTTGTCTTTTTCTTTAAATGACCGGAATTTTAAAACTTTTGACATACATTTTGGAAGCATTTTCTTTTATATTGCAAGCAGATCTGATTAGCATAAGGGTTTTTCTTGCATATACGACCGTCACACCAAAGCATTTCCAATGGGCTAATGTATATTGGGAAGAAATATTTTATAATTTCTCAAATTATATATCACAAGAATTCTCTTGAGGTCATTACTGGATCAGTCAAAATGGTGAATTTTTTTTCCATAGATTATTCAGAAGGAACCTTTTGATTCGCTGACAGTAGTAACTAATTTAATAGCAACTTCCCTTTAATAACTTTTTTACTACTATATTGAAATAAATCTATATATGTCTGTATTCAATGATGCCTTTATCTTTGATGGACTTTTGGTTGCTTTTGCATGTTTATAGTTAGGCGTGATTGATTGAATTGGCTCGATTTTTTCCTCATCTTTTGCCGACTTATTGGCCACCAGGGCCCTCATCAGATGGCTGAATTTCATAAGGAATTGGGCCCAACATCATGTGGAAATTTTAAAGGAGATGTGACATAAAAAGTGTCTTATGTCCATAGTTGTTATCAGATCACATCCTAGTTTTTGCAGATCTTAAAGCCACTTCATAATGGCTTGTATGTACCAATAGATCTGTATAAATCTTACGTTTTTCTTTGACTCATATGTTGTTTTCTACTTCATATTTAGCTTGCACTTCTTTTTTCAAAGGATTCATGTCGAACTAATTTTGGGATTGGACGAAGCATCAACTGAATCTTGTCTGAAGCTGTAATTACTGTTTGCATCACTTCTGAATTGGTTTGTATGATTGTCTTCTTTCCTCTTCCGTGTTGCCGGGTTATCAAATTTCTTTGAAGTAATTGCTCTTGCGATTTGAGCATAACTGTTTTAAGTATTGGCAATAGATCAATGTTTCTTTTATTGAGAAGTTAACATTTACCTATTTTCTGATTCTTCTGTTTTTGTATGTGCAGATATAGTGGATAAATTCTGAGATCATGAAGAACAAAAATGGAAAACCAATATCTTACCCAGATAAAAGTTCAAGGACAGTCCCTATGGCAATAATGTTTGTTGTGCTATGTGGGTTTTCTTTCTATCTTGGCGGAATATTTTGTTCTGAAAAGGACAGATATGTAGCCAAGGACATTACCAAAGCAGTTGAAACTGCCAAGCAAACGGCTGCAGGCCCACTACAAATCAAGGCTGTAACCTTTCCCGAATGCGGCATAGATTATCAGGACTACACGCCTTGCACGGATCCAAGGGTATTTTCTATTGGTTTACTTGTTTGGGTTGCAATCTTTTTACTATGCTGTAATAAGTGTAAATGGATGATTGTTACAGAGGTGGAAGAAGTACAGTCTTCATAGGCTTACTTTTATGGAGCGGCATTGCCCTCCGGTGTTCGAAAAGAAGGAATGCTTAGTTCCCCCTCCTGATGGCTATAAGTTGCCGATCAGATGGCCTAAGAGCAGAGATGAATGTTGGTACAGGTAATAGCCATTTTAACGATCGGGCAGATTTAAAGCATGTTTTTGTATTTTTTTATGGCTGAAAGTGTTATCTTTCATAAATTTCATACAATTCAATAATTGGATCTGGCTCAGAAATGTTCCATATGATTGGATTAACAAGCAAAAATCGAACCAACATTGGCTGAGGAAAGAAGGGGAGAAGTTCCTCTTCCCAGGCGGCGGCACAATGTTTCCTAATGGTGTCAGTGAATATGTTGATTCGATGCAAGCTCTGATACCAGGCATGAAGGATGGGACTATCCGCACTGCCATTGATACTGGATGTGGGGTGCGTATACATCATTATATTTTTTACCGCGTGCTTATATTTACGTGTTTCCATACGATGTTTTTCTTGCTTAGGTTATTGTCCTTGTGGATCGGATAGATATTAATGTTGTTTATTTGAATTTTATAACATATACATGTTTAGGTTGCAAGCTGGGGAGGTGATTTACTAGACCGTGGGATTCTTACAATCTCTCTTGCACCTAGGGATAATCATGAAGCTCAAGTTCAATTTGCTCTGGAACGCGGAATTCCAGCAATTCTGGGCATCATCTCAACCCAGCGACTTCCTTTCCCCTCAAACTCTTTTGACATGGCACATTGCTCAAGGTGCCTAATTCCATGGACCGAATATGGTAATCACACTCACATATAATTTAAGATTCATTCTTGCTACATGTGCACCTTTCTTTACACCCTGGCTTACCGAATTTATACTTGGCAAAATCTCACACCACCTTTCACATTTCATACATTTAATCCAATCATCATCCATCTGCCACATCTTTCATCTGTAAAGCAAGTGGTAAAAGAGGCGGTACGAATGACTTAACTCCATGAGATCTAAACACACACTAACTTTTCTCTATAATTTCGTAGTTGACTTGGGTCAAATCAAAACCCAGTTCAACCATGCAAATCATCTTGTAATCCTTAACATCTTTCAAATTTGCCTACGAGTCTGAAAGCAGTAGATTGTATATATTTGCACAAAATTTGTGTAATCTAGGTTATGTTTAAGTTGTTATACCACCTCATTTAAAAATTTAAGCTATTAGAGGTGAGACTCGTTTCAAGTCTTCAAATCGACCATTCGTGTGCAGGTTTGAATTTGTCCTTTTTTTCTTTCATCAAAGGCCTGACATCAGTGACGTGCACAACAATTTTCAGGTGCAATTTACCTTCTAGAGATACAACGTATACTCAGGCCTGGGGGTTTCTGGGCACTCTCTGGCCCACCAGTGAACTACGAAAACCGCTGGAGGGGATGGAACACAACTATTGAAGAACAAAGATCAGATTATGAAAAGTTGCAAGCATTGCTAACTTCAATGTGTTTCAAATTATACAACAAGAAGGACGACCTAGCTGTTTGGCAGAAACTATCCGACAACAGCTGCTATAAAAAGCTTGATACTCCAGACATTTACCCTGCGAAGTGTGATGATGGTACCGAACCAGATGCCGCTTGGTACAGTCCCCTTAGGCCTTGTGTTGTTGTTCCAAACCCGAAATATAGAAAAGTAGCATTAAAATCCATCCCTAAATGGCCACAAAGATTGCATTCTTCTTCCGAGCGTGTGTCTGATGTTCGTGGTGGCAGTGATGGTGCTTTTAAGCATGACAATAGCAAATGGAAGACACGGGTGAAGCATTACAAGAAGTTGGTACCCGCAATTGGTACTGATAAGATAAGAAACGTGATGGACATGAACACTGTGTATGGAGGTTTTGCAGCCTCTATGATTGATTATCCTCTGTGGGTCATGAATGTGGTTTCTTCGTATGCTGCAAATACACTTGCTGTGGTGTATGACAGGGGCCTTATAGGAACCTACCACGACTGGTAATTATACTTCGTGTACTAGGTTTCTTTTAAAAACTTGTCTGGGTGGCAAATTTTGTTGATTCACTAGGTCATCTTTTTTCCTAGGTGTGAAGCTTTCTCAACATATCCTCGAACTTATGATCTGCTTCATGTCGATGGTCTCTTCACAGCTGAAAGTCATAGGTAAGGCACCATTGCTATATTTTACAGATGAAATTTACACACATTTTCTTTTGGCTGGAAAACACCCGCTAACGTGTGCTTTGTTTTCAACATAAAACCCTCAATACTTGTATATATAGCTCCCCAGTCCCCAGATTTACAATTTTATTCAGCACCCAGTAATTCCTGGGTGCATCAGTTTCTGATCCATAATGGATTATTTCTGAAGCACTTTGATGTACTGACAGCGTTAGTGGCAGACTGGCAGTACACTGAAATGCATTCTACCTTGCTGAATTTCTGATGAAGCCCTATTAATATCCAGACTCAGTCAAATTTAAACAAGTACTATTAGTGAGGTCTTGATCAATCGGTAAAATGAAATTACTTTTGTCCGTTAGCCCTGGAGAAAAATGTCGTGATTTAAACTCCCGCTAACTAATGAGGCCTTGGCTCGTGTGATGTTAGTAGTTGTTCTTTACCTATTCACATCTAATTCAATTCTATTCTTTGAGAAACTTTCCTCATGTAGCTTAATCTGACATAGCATGGAATTAGAAGTAAAAGGAAAAGAGGCCTTATAGCACGTTTGGCTAACCTTAAATGCCACTAAATGAGCACTATATAGGAAACAGTACGGGAATGGAAAAATGTACTATATATGGGAGTGTCAACCTACAGGAAAACACACAAGACTTTTTTTTTTTTTTTTGTGAGCTTCGGCTTTTGCCCGAGAGATACTTATTTTATGTGAGCTTCAACTTTTATCGGAGAGATGCTTTTGTGTATCCATTATTTCTATATAGTGGATCTTTGATTCGGTATTTGTCTATGAATGTGGACATATTGCTGAACCACGTAAATAATGTCTCTGATATTGCTCAATTGTTTTTATTTAGTTGCTCAATTTTTTTTCACATAAAGAGGAAAAAATAGGGTTTTTTTTCCCTTCTTCCAATACTATTATCTATTTCTTTCAACTAGCAAGTACTAGTTATTTGACATAAGTATGCACTTGTAAAGGTGTGAAATGAAGCATGTTCTACTCGAGATGGATCGGATCCTCCGGCCAAATGGATATGCAATCATTCGTGAATCCAGCTACTTCATGGATGCTATTGCTACCATAGCCAAGGGGATGAAATGGAGCTGTCATAAAGAAGACACGGAATATGGCGTGGAAAAGGAAAAGATACTGATTTGCCAGAAGAAACTCTGGTATTCCTCTAAGCAGAGCTCAAGATAACAAGTTCTTGAGTGACAAGCCTCGTGTAGAGATTCGATATATTCGAATTACCAGCCATACGAGAGAAGTTTTATAGCATTCAAAGAGAATATTTATATAATAAAAGATTGAAGTCCAAACACATCGATTGAAGATGGCGATCCAATAACTAGGTTCTTGCTTTTTTTGAGATCATATATTCTTTGTAAGGTTCATTGTTTGCATTGTTGCGTTGTTTTATTCTGCCTTTTTTTTACGTCTCTCTTGATGTCGTGAAATGTGTAAAAGTGTCACGGCCATATCTCGATAATTTTATGTAGTTATCCGAATACTCTTTTGAGTATCAATCGATGAAATTTAGCAAACTTGGTTTCCCTTTTGGCTGTTATAGATCAACTATATTAACTGTCCAAATTAGATTTTTAGTAGACTGTGATAGAAGTTTTTGAAATGCGTGGTTGAAAAGATGTAGGACGTATGAAAGATGTGGTTAATATTGTTTGACTTTGACTTAGATTAAAATCAGATATTAATCCGACCCAAACAGATCCTAATACTTCGTATGAAAATGGTAGTAAATGGGGTTGCTTTTGGAGAGGTTGAGCACATCTGCAAAATACGAAGCTTAGGATGGGCAGTGTAAGGTCATCGAACTCAATTTTTTCGAATCTTGTTTAAATCCTGGCTCGAATAAATTTCTTAAACTAAATATATTTAATTAGAAAATTAACTACGAACACGGACGTGTCGGCAGAATATTTTCCTTTAATTTCGAAGAACACAAATTGAATATTTGGACATAAACATCGTCATGGATCAAATGGATTATTTAATGGAAGATTGATGGTCGTTAAAAAAGTTAGAATGCTACAATGTGCAAAAACTAACGAGCATAAATGTTTAATAAGGACCAAGGAAATATACTTAAAAGAGTATTGCTTTTATATGGCACCAACTATAAAATTTCCTTTTTCCACTCCAATTTTTACCAAAAAGAATTTAGGGTGTGTTCCCTTTATCGTTTTCAAACCGTTTTCTATTTTCGATTTTCCAAAACAGTGAAAACGCGTTATTTTTCCTATTTTCAAAAACAGGATTTTAAAAACAAAAAAAAAATTGCTCTGAAAACACAAAACGTCATTTTTTTTTACATTTTGGGCATTTTCAGTATAAAACACCAAAAAATGGAAAACACAGAAAACGCACAAAACCGTGTCATCCTTCGCTCTTCTTCCAATCCCGACTCTTCATTTTCTCTCCTGCAAAGCTGCAATTCCTCAATCCAAACCGTCTCATTGAAGCTTATTACTGTCAGGTAACTTATTAGAAGATTTATTATCAAACATGAAAAGGGCATTGAATCAATCACCAAGTTTAATTTTCACTGGTGGACCTAAATTTGATGGTTTATTATGAAGCACGTTTATTTCTATTAATTATTATTATTTTTTTTTTTGTGTTGGTTTGTTTTTATTCTTGCTATTGTTTTTTGTAATTTGATTAATTTCGAATCACGGGATGTAGTGTAATTTTAGATAGCTGAAGCGCAAAAATGGATCCCTTTGAGCTAGAGAAGGGCGGCAATGCCCTAAATCGTGTGCCCCGAATGGAATCTCCATGGGACTGAAGTTAATAAAAATATGTGAAAGCAGATGGGCAATGAAGAATTGAAGACTGCTGTCAACGAGGAAATGATGAGATTGAACGGTTGCCCGCCAACAGTAGTTGTGCCTCTCACCGATTGCGAGTCTTGGACAAATGCTGCAACTGCTGTCGATTCAGGTATGTATGTATATATATTATTTTTGTTCAGCTAAAATCTTTGTTTTAAGTGTTAGTGTGAAAATTTGGTGCTTACTAGATTTAAGGGGGTTGGATGGAAAGACCTCTTTTATACGGAGATTTTGGGGGTATTGAGAATTTGCTTGTATATATATTTTTTTATGAAGTTTGCATTTATTGGTTGACTAACTAGATTTTTTATTTTTTCAGTTACTTTTGTGGTTAATTATATGGTGGAAGCCCATCCCACTTTTGATAGTCCTGTCAAAGATGTTCTTTGCAGGTTTTTATTTTAGATTTTTTGTATTTTCTTCGAACTTGTATTTGTGCAGGAACCAAATCATGAGGACGCTTTCAATCCTGATGCAGCTGCAGTGTTGAGGGATAATCCGAAGATGTTTGAATCCAATGTGCGAATGGCAATGTCAATCAGTTTCTCAAATCAGTCGACATTGTAGATGATTTTAGTTGAGAGATTCGTAAATTTGGATCCACATCTATCCTTGTATTCTAGTGTAACTGTGATTTACTTTGTGAGAGATTGAAACTTGAATTCTGGTTTGAAAAGATATATTGCAATAAACTGATGTTGATGCATCATTGCATTTTCTAAAGTCTGTGTGTTTATGTTACCTTTTTACTTATAAGTGGTTTATCTATAATCAAGGAATAATGTTATTTATTATCACTGATGATAGTGATCGTGTTTAAATGATAAAAATTGTATTAGGCAAGAATTATGAGAACTAACATGAACTTGATAATATTGATTTTAAAATATTTATTATCATGTCAACATGATATTAGTGCTCCCTTTTTTTACAACTTGATTAGGTTTGGTTGTGACTTTATGCTAATTAATTCTTGTCACAAGTTATGTATAAGGACAAAAATAAGGACTTGCCAAATTTAATTTAGGTTGTATTTTTTATATCTGGAAAAAAATATTTCAAGATTCACCAATTTCAAATTTTATATGNCACCAACTTCAAAATTTATATGTTATTTAATATTTTATTAACATTAAACTATTTAAATTGATTGAATAATCAGATTTCTTGAATAAAATATTATAAAAAAAATATTCTCAAAATTTCAAAGTAAGCGCGTTTTCCATTTTTATGTTTTCAAAAACAATTTTTCAGAATGACAAAAAAAACGTATTTTCAACAATTTCAAAACATACTCTTAAAAAGAACAGCCCTTTAGAGTCTCTCCAAGAATTTTTCTATTTGTAGAGTATCTTATGTAGGAATGAGATGAAATTATCAGAACCATTACATAGAACTTGAACTAGATTGGGACCAATCAATTCGATCCAGTTCTACTCAGTTATGGGTATTGAATTCGAAAATGGGTCGATTTCAGTTCAATTCTCAGTTCTAATATCAAGAACCAAAAAACCCGATTTATAATTTGAAAGTGTTACTTTTAACAATTGTTGGTGCATTGCACCAACCATTTTACTTTTTTTCTTGTGGTTTCATCATATTACATCAAACTAATATTCAATTTAATATGGTATTGTTTATGACCTCGGGGTATAGCTCAGTGGTGCAAAGGACATGAGTGAGGTAGTCTCATCTGAGTTGGCAGTCGCAGTGTGAGGGTTCGATTCATGCCTCTTACAAGGTATGAAATTAGACTCTTTGTGGGCATCAGTATGGCAACTCTTGTACCATGGCCAGCTGAGGCACATCCCGTAATTTACCTCCTCCACAATGCTCTAGAAACGGGGCGGTAGAGGGCCCTTAAGGTTGGAGTTCAACCTTTTTTTGGTATTGTTTATAAACTCAGACAAAATGACCCCTTAAATTTCATATATGTAGTTTTAAATTAATAAGAGATTGAATTCTATTTTTTTTTCCGAGTTAACATTTATGGCTCTTCAAAGTATAAAAAAAGCGATGTAACACCACGTGCTTCATTTTTGTAATTATCATGTCTATCTACATTATATAGTGATGTTATATTTACTACTTAATTATTCATAATTTGCAGTGGAATGTACCTTTGACATCTTACACGATCAACGTGCTTAGCAAAGTTAATTATAATGTTTACATATAATTCTATTAAAATGAAAATAAATTAACTTATATAATAGATTCTTTTAATTATATGATTATAGTTTTATGACTTGCTATTTTTAAGTAAATCAAACCTTAACTTGTCCTCAGATATTTTTTTTATATTAAGTAAGTTTGATTAACAATTAAGCAGAAAATTAAGTTTTTACTGATTAATAAAATCAGCCAATTGACATTCTAATGAGTAATGTAGCAAAAACTTTCCCTTTATAACGGACATATAATTAGAAGGCATAACGCTTCATAATACTACACGTTTCATTACAAAATAAAATATCCATTTTATTCATTGGGACCAAGAAACTATCCAACTAAAGAAGATACAAATATTCACATGACCGGATGTTGCATGTGGTATTAGCATTTTGAGTATATTTATGGCAAACTCGGGTCCTCAACATTGGACTGCTTTAAAATGGCTTTTAAGTACTTGAAAGGTTCTACAGATTAGGTTTGCACTTTAAGGGTGCGTTTGATTGCAAGGGTGGAAAATAGGTGGAAAGAAAATGATTTGCAGGGAAAATAATTGCTTAGAAAATATTTTGTAGGGAAAATGATTTCAAGTGTGTTTGATTGGTATAATTTTCCACCCGAAAAATTTTTAAATTTTCTATTCGTTTGGCTTTGTTTTACATGAAAATTGTCCATTAAAGTAATATTTTTTTCCACAATTGGTT